AGTGTTCAGTACACTTGAATAAAAACACTAACAATTAAGTGAAAATACTATGTAGAATATAAATCAAGATGTTGGTTCCATCGGATATAAATCAGGATGATGGTTCCGTAGGTGCTCGATGAGGTCTTTTTTCAGCTGGAAATGTGTTTCCTTCTCTCGGATCTTTTTATGCGCTTTAATAAATTCAGCTAGTGTGCGAGTAGGCTTGCCATGAGAAGGTTTCACATTTTCACCACCATTTTCGAACCGCTCATCGTATTCGACAACTCGTTCATCTTCAACAATCATATTGTACATAATCACACAAGCCCTCATGATCAATGCAAGTGTCAATGTCCCAAATGCGAGCTGGTTCTCGAACAATGGCAAACCTAACCTCAGAGAACCCTAAAAGCTCTTTGTGTTTCTTGCACTCGCAAAATATTTCCTCTTGTTCCCCCATAGGAGAGAGATGGACTTGACTAATGTAGCCCATGAGGAGTATATACCATCGGTCGATAATAACCCATGTTGTAATCATGACCATTAATGGTGTAGTTCACCTCCGAGCTATACCTCCGCCTGTAAGGATGAAACCGAAGCGGAAGATCCGTGCCCGCAAAATTCCGCAATTTCCTGAAACGAGAAAATTATTCAGAAAACGGCGAGAGGAGAATCGGGCGACTATTTTGACGAATCCACGGTTAGCCGGATTTTAACGGAAAAAGACGGTATTACCGTGTTTGCGAGCGCCAAACCCATCAGCCCGCTAGTCCACAACTTCGGCCCAAGGATGAGTTTTAATCACTAGACCTTCATTTATAACTTGGTGGATTCAAAGGACGAGGTGGGACTAATGCTTCTTTGCCGAAAAGGGAGTCGCGGTGTGCGGTGTCTTAAAGTGCTCTGTGCAATCGCCCGCTTTGCAAATAATGGTGCCTTGTGCATGCGTGCGTGAAAAAGGACATTGATATCATGGTTTTAACTTTTTTTGTTTCTTTTATTCTCCATCCTTTGTAGATCTCCGTGAGCAGCAAGGTTTGGCCCTTTGTTCATTTTTTTTTCTTTTTCATTTTTTTTTATGTAGTTATGTAGTTTTATTTGCATAAATAATGACGAGCTCACTAGTTGCTATTGTTTGCATAAGGATTATGCATGGTTGCTACTGTTGCATCGAGCTCACTATTTCAAGTGGTTACATATATCGATGTTCGTTTTGTGTTACCGCTTCCCGATCGTAATCGACACGTTCCTGCTCAAATATTACAATCAATGGACCCTAACATTCCGTTCCCGGAAAGGCGGAAATGGTTAAGACATTTTGAGTCCCGACCATTTTCATCCCTACCGCAAGTTTCCAAATAATGGAGACCGGTGAAGGACATTGATATCATTATGAGAACCAGGACCTCAAAGGTCGGAGGATGTCTCTTCTAAAATGCGGTTGGCTTGTTCACATCTTCAACCCTATGATTCTGGACAATTCTTCCACCCAATGCATACAATCAATGGACCCTAACATTCGTGGAAACCTCTTTTCTCATTGAGTGCGAGAAGCGTGCGAAGGTCACCTCATTGGGATGTCTCGGTATTCTCTTCAAATATTTCTACAAGCTGCAAAGAACGAACCCACGTAGGCTCTCAAGTCGCGTGCTTTTCGCTAATGCGAACATACCCATATGTGAGCATAAGAACCCCATATGTGAGCATTCAAGAGCGGCAAGTGACTTTTTGGAAGCAACTCAATCCAAGTACACTGCGCAATTCCTTTTTGCACAAAATAATCATCGTGTGCTTCAACAACATTCATTATGCGTAGGAAAAGGTTCCTACTCATTCTGAATCTGAAGAAAAGAAACAAAAGTTCAACAACTCGTATAATAATTAAACAAATACTATGAACCAATTTGAGGTGAAAGAACAACTACCTCCGACGGAATAAATCTGGACCATACGTCGGATTTCCCGCCAAATAATCTTGAAACATCCTCCGGTGGCCGCCTTCTCTATCCCGATGAATAACAACATGGCCAGGGACCGAACCACCACGTCTTCGTTTTCTATTCGAAAACGTGCGCACAATTCGAACAGCTGTGAAATGAAGGAATCATCGTCGTCTGAAGACTCGTCATCCAATTGTCTTTGTGCACGTGATTTGAAAGCCCTCATGATCGACGTATGTACGCCTGCAAATGACATATGTGCAGCTGAGAACATCAACATAACAAAAATTATCGGAGACGCAGCTTATTGATATGATATAATACGCAAAAACAATCCTATTTATTGATATCATATTTAGCCTCGCAAGTTGTTTATACAAAAGAGAAGGAAAGCATAAAGTCCTTTTAGCCTCTCTCAAGGTGAACAATCCTGTTCATACGACGAATTGACATGATACATGAATGGGAGATCGGCAGTGGACGAACCTTGGAGATCGATGACGACCTGCAGTCCACGGCGGCAGGAATGACTCTCTGGCGACACTGGAAGCCCTCGTTGGTTCCTGTGGCAGCGTCTCGGACAGAGGAGGAACGGCGGCGACTGACTCCATCGCGATTTGGCGGAGCTTGACGAAGAAAATGTCATGACGAAGAAACACGCGCGACCAAAAGCGCGGGACCAGAGATCTGGCATGAGGGAAAAAATTGCGGCAAATATAGCTGGGTCCACAATTTTGGGTTTTGCCAAGTCAATTTTGCCAAACACTTGGAGATGGCCTTTTTTTCCCTTGCCATATCGTTTTGGGAGTTGGCAAACTACAACAAATGGCAAACAAAAATTGCTAAACTGTTGGAGTTGCTCTTAGAGAGGATTAAGGGGGAGTTAATCCCCTACAAGTCAAAATCTCCCTCAATCTTCTTCAATCCTCTCCAAACCCCTTGGTTCTATGTAGATACGAACAAGGTCTGCGGCTCTATGCGGGGCCTACGTTTCTTCTGTCGTGGTTATGTGATTTTTTTCTTTTTTGTTCTTTTCTAGCTCATAAAATTAAAAATAAATAATAAATACAGTATTATAGGTTCTTGATAAACAAATATTTTCATCACTGAATTACTAATGTAGTTTTAATTAAGAGTAAATTTTTTATTATTAAAACCTGGATCAACTGATGATCTAACTAATCGGATTGTGAATTGAAATCTTAAAAAGTTTGCCATTCAATCTAATCAAAATAAATGTATCTCTAAGCTGTATGAATATATGCATGCAATCTTTGACGAGGGCTACCGTATGGATATCAAGAGAGGTCTCAGTCATGATCATCAATGGGCAGACCAACCCTTAATATGACAAATAACTAATTTCTTATCGACTTTGTGATCCTTAAAAGAAGTCACGGAACTTGATATCCGACTCTAACAACACATAGATAGTATGATATATTTATGAGTAAATATTTATGTGCCTTACAACAAAATAAAAAAAAATCTATGAAGGTTGTATTTTAATTCAATACAAACTTAATAGGACATTGCAATATCATTGCCAGCATCGACTTATATTATTGACGTTATGGTCATCATAATATAAATTATACGTTTTAAATTTTATAGAAATGATAAAAACTAAATAGATACTCCCTCGGTCCTAAAATATATGATACTTTAGTTATGGATTAGGACAAATATTTGTCCGGATTCATAGCTAAAGTATCGTCTATTTTGGGACGGAGGGAGTGACATTCCGATCCTTATTTCCGTTAACGTTTGATAGCTTTTTTTTCTTCTGGTTCTCGTTTTCCATTAACATTTGGTAGGTTTTGCTCCCGTTGCAACGTATGAATACATTTGCTAGTTTAAAATAAAAAGGCAAATGCAAAGGATTTGAAGAAAATCAAGTTCATACAAAATAGTATACTCAGTACTCTTTCGTACACAATAAATTGAATAGCCAACGGCAACACGGCTAATAGGCATATTCCATTCATTTAAAAAAAACTAGAGAACATATCACTATATCAGTGCTCTACAATGGGACATGCTATGACTTGTTGCCCAGTCACATCGACAACTTGGATTCAAAGATTTATTTAATAATCATATCATATGTTTTAATTCATCATGAAATACAATCGGATTCCTTGCTACTCTAATTTGTATGGGTGCCGAGGCTCGGAGATTTATCCATATTTCACTCAATGACTCAATAAAAAAATGACTTATAAAAGAATGACCTATTTGATGTCATAAATCTTTATAATTATTTAATATTTTTGAAATGACTTATAATTTAGAATGGAAGGAGTCCGATTTTTTTATAGAACATAGATCACATCAGTTTTTTATAGCTTATGACTAAATTAAATAAACTCTAAGCATATTTCAATTCACATGTGTTAAACTGAATTGTAGTAAAAATTAAATCCAACGTACCATACCGTGCATCTAAGCACGATCTCGTGAACACGTTTGCCATTTCTTAGGGTGTGTTTAGTTCGTGAAATGAAAATTTTTGGATGTCGCATCGGATGTTTCGGGGATGTTGGAAGGGGTTTTCAGATACTAATAAAAAAACTAATTACATAGCTCGCCTGAAAATTACGAGACGAATTTATTAAGCCTAATTAATCCATCATTAGCGCATGTTAGTTACTGTAGCACTTATGGCTAATCATGAACTAATTAGTCTTAAAATATTCGTCTCGAGATTTCCAACCAAACTGTGTAATTAGTTTTTTTTTGTCTATATTTAATACTCCATATATGTGTCGCAAAATTCGACGTGATAGTTTGAGGTGAAAATTTTTGAAAACTAAACCAGCCCTTACTCACGGTCACTATTCATTCATCAGTCACATCACACCTCCCGCGTTCCCCCTCTTTCTTTCTCACCTCCACGTCACCGTAACCTCCTCCTCCCTGCTTTCAAAAAAAAAAAAAAAACTCCTCCCCATCCCCTTCTCACGCGACGAAACTCAGCCGTCTCCCCATCGGAACCCTAATCCTCTCTTTCCCTACTCGCGGAAGCCACCACCACCGGCAGGGAAAGCGGAAGGAAAGCACCTCGGCCCCGGCAAGATGGTGCTCGCGCAACTGGGCGGGAGCATCTCCCGCGCCCTGGCGCAGATGAGCAACGCCACGGTGATCGATGAGAAGGTGCTGAACGACTGCCTCAACGAGATCTCGCGCGCGCTCCTACAGGCCGATGTCCAGTTCAAGATGGTCCGCGACATGCAGGCCAACATCAAGCGCATCGTCAACCTCGAGGCGCTTGCCGCAGGCACCAACAAGCGCCGCATCATGCAGCAGGTAAGGGGCGTACTGGTTCGTCGCCTCATCTGCGCAATCCGCCCCCAATCCGTCAAGAGCTTCGAGGGATTTCTGTGTAATTTGGGGTTATTCTGTGCATCCCGTTGATTGCGTTAATTGATCTCTGTTGTTATTGCTGTAGGCTGTCTTCACGGAACTCTGCAACATGCTAGATCCCGGGAAGCCTTCTTTCACTCCCAAAAAGGGCAAGCCAAGCGTAGTAATGTTCGTTGGTCTGCAAGGTCAGTCTTCCTGTCACTACGTTGTCTCATGCTATGGTAGCTGCACATTTGCTCGAGTGACGTTTGGCAGATGGTTTTCTGGTTTTCTTTGTTCAAGAAGATCCTGAATTATTAAAACTTGATTTATTACGATCTAACCTAATTAGATATGTTTTTGACTTTGTCCATTCTTTTTTCTTATACAATAAACAGGCCACTCCCCTGCAACGATATTAATGTAAATGAAACCGTTCAAATCATTTTACAGCTCATAATGATGTCCACAGTGAGATTTGTTACCTCCAGTAATCCAACTCATAAACTTCAATCACTTAAGCTCTTACATATATTAGTAATTTTTTTCTTGAACACACAAGAGACCTGTGTATAATTATATTATAAGAAGAAGAAAAAAAGGAGGAAGGGATCTTACAAACACATAAATCACACACACCCACATCAGGAATTTAAAACATTTGTGCCTTTGTACAAAGAGAACTCCACCACGACCATGACCAAATATCAACCAACAAGTTGGCACAAGCCACAAGGGCTGTGAGGTAAGAAATTCCTTGAAGCCAGCCAGCATCCATAGATGAAGACCCTCACTAGCAAAGTAGCAAGTAACAAAGCTCTTGCTATGCTTGGAGATGCCCCATGGGACACACACTGATTACGGTGACACCAACAAGTCCAGTCACCAAGAATGACGAGAGAGGGTAAATTACATTGTTAATTCCCCAGTTTTGCTCATGCTCATGTGGGGTTTATACTGTATCAAGGTCGTAAATGTCTGGTGGCTACTCCAGACAGGGCCAATAGCCTTAGAAAATTGCGCACTTTGTTATCTAATTATTGGTGCTGTTGTCCTTTATTAGGTCATGTTTTTGTCCAACAGGTTTTTTCTCAAGTTGTAATTTTTTTAATGTTTTTGCTTTCTACTTCCTCCGTCCCAAATTATAAGTCATTCCAAGAATCTTGGAGAGTCTAGATTCTTCATTAGTTATATTTTCATATCATGCCAATTTGATGTCATAAATCTTTGTGTTTCTCTCTATAATTTTGGTCAAACTTGAGATGCTTTGACTCTCCAAGATTCTTAGAATGACTTATAATTTGGAATGGAGGGAGTAGAATATAGCATAAGTAGTTGATTACTTATAAGAAGATATGTGCATATCTCTTGTTAATATTAAGCCATTTGCTTGAGTACACACATCTTAAAGTCCAAGGTTTAGTTGAACATATGGGCTGTTTGAAATTTGAAAAACAGAAAGATGGATGCTGTGAATCTATGATGTGTGAGACATAATGATAAAGCATCACATATCTTCATTTTGGCTAAGCTTCATTGCACAGCAAGTGGTGCTGGGAGCGTAACTGATGTAGTAGACCTATCTAATATCTATGGCATACACAAAGATTGGCCAGATCCTAAATTTAACCATGATGGGACAATTCCTGTTTTTGTCCCCAGCATGTTTGTCATTCTTCTCACAAGATAACATCATTTTGGTGCAGGTTCTGGTAAAACTACCACTTGTACAAAATATGCTTATTATCATCAGAGGAAAGGATTCAAACCAGCGCTGGTTTGTGCTGATACATTTAGGGCTGGTGCTTTTGATCAGTTAAAGCAAAATGCAACGAAGGCCAAGATTCCCTTTTACGGAAGGTGCTATAACTCTCAACGTGAGTTTGTTGTTCATGTTATTATCTCTGTATTCTAACAGTCACTTTGCAGCTACATGGAATCTGATCCAGTAAAAATTGCTGTTGAGGGTGTGGAGAGGTTCAAGAAAGAAAACTGTGATCTCATCATTGTGGATACAAGTGGAAGGCACAAACAAGAAGCAGCACTCTTTGAAGAAATGCGGCAAGTTTCGGAAGCAACAGTATGTGCACTTGAAATTCGCAAATAAATTCTGGCTTTCAGCAATATTTTGAAGAAATCTAATGAAATTTTACCGTCATTCTTGTATTTTTCCTGCAGAAACCAGACTTGGTGATTTTTGTGATGGACAGCAGTATTGGTCAGGCTGCATTTGATCAAGCACAGGCATTTAAACAAAGTGTTTCTGTTGGTGCTGTGATTATTACAAAAATGGATGGTCACGCAAAAGGCGGTGGTGCCCTTAGCGCGTTAGTATTCTCTGCCTTTTTTTGCAATATGGCCTTGGTTTAATTTCCTGTTTCGTAACTTATAAAGATTGTTTCCAAAGAACCTGAATTAGATGCTCTCCATTGGAATATGTCTTGGTTTCACTATAGTCCGGATACATTCTCCACAAGATAATTCCACATTATTTTGTTCTAGGAAAGGATGTAATGAGTACTCGATTATGAAGGTCTGTTCATTTAATTTTTAGCAAGTATTGGAGCTAGATGGAATTATGGGGTGTTACTCTTAAAACCTACGTTACACGGATACGTGGCTGAGGGAGCGTATCGCGTGTCGGATACGTATCCGATACGGATACGCGTCGGATACGCGCCCGATACGTATCTGCAGAGTATCCGATTTTTTATTAATTTCGCAATTCTTGAGTACGCCTGTGGATACGTATCTGTATCTGGGATACGGCCCAGCCCAACAAAAACAATGTCTCCCTGTCTCCCCGACGCCCTAGCCCCTGACGCTCGCACCTCGTGCGGTCGCGCCGCCTCCAGCGAACATGCGCAAGGAAGCCTCGTCCCTGCTCACCAGTCACCGGCGACGAGCCTCCGCCCCCACTTGCCGGCCGCCGGCGATGAGCCTCCGTCCCCCGCTCACTGGAGACGAGCCTCTGTCCCCGCGCACAGCCTACTGCGTACATGTGCGCCGCCTCCTGCGCAGGGGATGCGCCACTGCTCACCGGCCGCCGTCGCCGAGCCTCTGGCCCCTCCATGCCATCCTCCTCCTCCAGATCGCCGCGCCGGGGAGCACCTAGCAGTTCGTCATGGTCGCGGCCAGCTCCCGTGATGCAGGGGATGCAGGGGAGAGGATGATTCAGCAGCAAAGCAAGCTGTCTACTCTAATTCTGCATGTACATCCCCTTCCCTATTCTTGATCTACTCTACTTCTGCAGTTCTTGCTTAATTTTGTTTGTTCCCCACTTCCCCTTCCTGATTTTTGCCCATTCTTGATTGCTTCATTGCTTGCATGCAATAGGTGGTCTCTCCAAATTTGGTAGTGCTGGCACAAGCTAAGTGCTAGTGCTAATCCTAGCATAGGATCTGTGTGCTGTGGCTACCAGCCACAATCACAACAGAGAACCGACATTAGGATTTCCTGTAACTCGAGTTTTAGACTTTCACAATTTTAATTTGTATTATTATTTATTTATTAAAAAATTGTAAAACGTATCCGCGTATCATGTTTTCTAGAAAATTGCTGTATCCGCGTATCCGTATCCTTCCGAAACCGATACCGATACACGTATCCGTATCCGTGCTGCATAGCTTAAAACAGCTACTGCATTCACATTTCAGGATAAATGTACTTTGTCCTGGACTTCTGTGCGCACAGCACTATCTTTGTTTTTTGATGTCTTTAATTCCTGCTGTCTGTGTAGCAAGTTTCGTCCCTTCATATGCATGTGTGTTTAAGATACCTTTCACTGAACAACTACTTATACATCTCATAACGCTTCAGAACCTATGAGCAACTTAACATATCTTCTATCCTTGTTTCTTTCCAGTGTCGCAGCAACAAAAAGTCCTGTTATATTCATTGGAACTGGAGAGCACATTGATGAGTTTGAAGTTTTTGATGTGAAGCCATTTGTTAGTCGCCTGTTAGGTCAGTGGAAATATAAGGCATGCTTTTACATGTTTATATGTGTGTGACATTCCATTAACCTTGCTTTGTTTGATTCGCAGGTATGGGAGATTGGTCAGGCTTTATGGACAAGATTCATGAAGTGGTACCTACAGATCAACAGCCTGAGCTTCTGCAGAAACTGTCTGAAGGAAGCTTTACTCTGAGGCTTATGTATGAGCAGTTCCAGAAGATTCTGAAAATGGGTCCTATTGGCCAGGTTAACTACTTCAATCCTTGAAATTTCTTGAACATCTTGTCAAAACCAACATAGTAATAACAGATTCATTCATTAACATCATGGGTCAGGACTTCTCTCTCAAATAAAAAATTGATTTTGGTTTATTTGCAGGTCTTCTCTATGTTGCCTGTGTTTAGCGCTGAACTAATGCCAAAAGGACATGAGAAGGAAAGCCAGGCTAAGATTAAGCGCTACATGACGATGATGGATTCCATGACTGATGCAGGTAATTTGTGGTGACAAGAACCTTCCTATATATAAATTTATTTATTTATTTATTTTAGTAGTGTGCTACAATTGTAATCTTCATGCCTGAGTTTTTGTCTCAGAGCTTGACAGCACAAATCCTAAGCTGATGACTGAATCACGGATCATTCGGATTGCACGGGGTTCTGGCCGGCCTGTCAGGGATGTCATGGACATGCTGGAAGAGTACAAGCGGCTTGCTAAAATCTGGGGCAAGATGAAGGGTCTCAAAATCCCAAAGAAAGGGGAGATGAGTGCACTGTCCCGCAACATGAATGTTCAGCACATGAGCAAGGTACTTCCGCCGCAGATGCTTAAACAGATTGGTGGCATGGGCGGCCTGCAGTCTCTGATGAAACAGATGGGATCGAAGGAGATGAGCGGAATGTTTGGAGGCATGGGTGGCGAGCGGTAATTTTACATGATCTAATCCTGTTTTTGGTGGATCGTCATTGTGATGCTAAGTTGAGAGGGTTTAGTGCTGTGGTCTGATCATCAATCATCATAGCTTTCCCTGAAAGATCAGCCTGCGCCATGTTATGGAACAGGCTTAGCGTAGCTCCCCATGCCTGAAAATTTAATTTACATAAACAGTATGTTTGTCCTTGGAAAAATGGATAAGGTATATATTGACAAAGAGAATATGTTTATGTAGATTGTTATTTCCCACATTAGTCTTCCAGTGTTGTTATGCCGTTGGTTTGGCAGGGATGTGCCATGAAACTTCATGCAAGGGCGAGCCTATTTGAATTGTGCACCTTGTGCTGGGCGAAAGTTAGAAACTGATCGGCTGCCAGCGTTGCAGCGCTGTTTCTGCTGCTGCAAGAGAGCTACAGTAACTGCAGAGATTTTTTTTTTTGCAGCAGCTGCAGCCACCGTAGAAAACATAACAGACCCGAAGAGGTGCCCATTTGAACATAAACGACAAAACTACGAACAATGTGGCAGCATTTTATTGCCAAAGGAACGCGTGAGCGTGACGAGTCTCCAGTTTCTCCGCCGGGAATGGAATGGAAGAACTAGAGCACGGCCACAGCAGGGATGTCATGGTATTCGTCGGCATCCGCCTCGCGCACCGCCCGCGCAATGGCCCGCACCGTGGCCGGGCTCTCGTCCTTCAGCACCCTCCGATGAGCGCGGCGGCCGCCCACCTCCACTCGCCGACGCTCGACACGAAGTCCGTTCCCGCCGCGCCGTCCGAGTCCTGCAAGGCTGCAACGCGTGAGGACCAACCCGAAGTTTTTTTTGTTGTCACAACTGTTGGTGCCAAAGGCTACGTTATCGAAGAAGCGCACCAACCATTCGTTCGTCTCGGCGATGTACGTCTCCCCGCTGTTCGGATACACGACGATTGGCTTGCTCGTCACCTGGAAATGAAATTGCCGAGTTTCAAATGCTTCTCTGTTGGTAACGCTATACGGCCATAGTAGGACGAACAGGCATACTGACAGAGGGTAGAGCCAGAGAGATGCACCTTTTTGATGGAGAGAATAAGACCGTGGATGAGCCTGGGAGCAGTGCAGTTCACTCCGACCGCGGCCATCCTCTGGCAGGAATCAGCAACGGCCGCGCACTCGGTGATCGGGTCTCCGCTCGCCGCGTGAACCCCATCCTCGGAACTGAAAGAGAACCAGGACGGGATCCGTATGCCGTTCTCCTCCAGGAGCTCAGCGTAGGCCTGCAGAGGTTCGTCCAGGTAGCCATAGGCCATAGCACGGCAACATATGTGCAGATGAGATGAAATACAAATCGCATCCCGTCCGTTCGCTACGTGTAATGTACTGTATGTACCTGCGCTTCGAGCTTGTTTGGGATCGTCTCGAAGGCGATGAGGTCGGGCCCCGCGCCTGCCAGCACCTGCAGCCGCCTCCTGTGGAAGTTCTTGAGCGCTTCTTTCGTGACCGATTTGCCATAATCCCCACTGTACTCGGAGCCGTCTGCCCGGTACGCCCCGTAGCTCCCGATGGAGGCCGCCACCAGCACCGGCGGGCGCTCGCCGCGCGACCTGCGGCTGTCGCCCTCCACGAAGACTCTGCGCGCCTCCTGCGCGACGTGGACGCTACGACGCAGCAGCTCCTCGCTCTCGTCCCGGGAGTAGCCCCTCGACTGGAACCCCTCGATCGTGGCCTGCGTGCGTGCGCCACCAGCGACCGATCACCGGTCGTCGTGACATTGTGATACGGTCCGGGTGAAGAGTCAAACCCGCGCGCGTGCGCAAGAAAAAGAGCAGTGTACGGTCTGCTCACCTGGTAGGGCGCCGAGATTATGACATCCGCGCCTGCTTCGACGTAAGTCCAGATGAACCTGTGCTTTTTTTTCAGAGAAAAAAAATACAAAATCGCTTGTGAGTTGTGATAGTAACCCTCTGTGCATCGTGTAGGTGTACTGGTGCTTAACGGCCGTCGCGGTGGTGGACTGGTGCTTCACCTTGCGGATGAGATGCGGGGCGGAGGCGAGGCACTTGGCGCTCCAGAGCGCGTCGTGCAGGTCCGTGCCGTGCGCCTCCAGCTGCGTGCCGAGGCCCCCGTCCACCACCGCGCACCCGCCCGCTTCCCGCACAAAGCCGCGCAGCGCGCCTGCCGCGTCGACGATGGGTCCTCCACCACCGAGCGACATTTTTCAAAGGACGATGCTGAACGCGCGGCGACGGATCGGAGAGAATTCGATTGGATGGGGAAAACGCAACAGTACCGGGCGTAGTGTGGTGAATGAATGTATAGTAAATAATAGATAGATGCTGAATGCACATGCACGGGTGGACACGCAGAAACTGCACGTGGCTGGAGCGGCGAAGCTCGTGTGCGAAGCCAAGGAAGTCGCCGGCGGCCACGTCGATGAGCGGCGCTGTACGTGTCGTCCTGTGCTGCTGGCAGCGCATTTTACGTGCATGCACGTCAGCACGTGACTAATTACTGCAGGAGAGCAGGAGTAGAGTAGCGCCGCAGATGGACTCGACCCGATAAATTTGCCTGGCAACTCGTTTAGGACCATCGCGCGTCATATCAGCTCCTCTCATCATACTTGAATAGTTGACTGGCCTTTTGCCCGCCAAAAAAAAAGTATTCTGGAAATTGGTAAACACTGCAGTTGGAAAGCGAATAATAAAGGAATCACAGCGCACGGCATTGACAAGATTAACGTCATGTTCTTCGGCGTTACTTTTCAGCGAACGGATAGTGTTTTTTTCTCACAACGAATCAGCATAAGCTAAATTTCAATGAAACGAACAGGGCGCTCTCCAACCACATCTCCGAGGAACACTATGATGTTTTTCTGACCTTATATATGTTGCTGGTAGATATGGAAGAGAAGAAACAATTTCATATTTCAAAAGCAAACGATGACGGTATACTTCTGGTGCTTATTAGTGGAGACTACGGAGTTATAGACTACCGGCATAGAGCAAATGTGTGACGACCACATTGGTGCTCAATTTTCATTCTCGGCAACAATGTAAACCCAGCTTTATTTTTTTTTATCTTTGTCTTATGTCCTCCAAAAACGACGTTAACTATCTTTTTTTCATTTTCAGTTATAGGTGAACACACGAGGGGCGAGGGCCTAATGCCTTGAACGGCACTATGGGACAAATATCGAAGGTCGGGCTCTGCCTAACGCATTGACAGTTGAACTCTTTTACTTAAGCATAATATCAACACAAAAATAGCGAAAATAGATAAAAAAAATATTAACAAATCATCATCACAGGGTAGGGGGCAGCTTTGATGGTAAACAAAATGATCTCCACTCTAATCTCCATTTTCGATTACTGCCTTCGTTTCAAAATGCAAGAGCCAAGACGTTGCTTTGTTTGAAGCTAAACTTTATTAACTTTAGCGAGATTTGTAAAATAAATCATTAATATCACCAATCCTAACATTGCTCGCTATTGTTTATCATTTTATATAGTCGTTGTTGGCTGTTGTTGATAGTCATGTTTTTTTTTCTTGATTGTGGCTCTTAGTGTTGTATTTCCTTTTTTCCCATTAGCCCTAACTCCTAGGGAGAACTCCTTGTTTTTTTTCCGGAAAGTATTTTCCCATAACAACTCACTTTCACATATCTTTTTTCCGACTCTCTCATATCGTCACCATATTCTCCTTCCTCGACACTGCTCCTCTAGTGAAGCCCTCGACATGGCTCCCCTCCCGCCGACCGTCCCCGCTTGCTGGTGCCTGTCCTATCCTGGCGAGGCCCATTCGATGTGGATCCTCTCAAGACGAGGCACTCAACCTCGTCGCGGCTTCCTCCTTGTGCCCGCATGTCCTGTCCCGACGAGACTCATTCGAATACATTTGAGAGCCCTAATTTAAGGTCTCCGACTCTTAAAGGCATTTGAGCTCTTAAATTAAAAAGTAGGGGCTTCCCCCTGTAGGGGTCCCTTTGATTTGAACGTTTTAATTTGAAATGCTCTAATGTAAGTTAGGAGTGTGTTTGGTTTGAGAAATAAGACGGTCTATCTTCTTCTTACTCTCACTTTTTTGTTTGGTTTGCAGAATAAAATATATTGATACATCACCATCTTATTTCTCACAATCTATTAATTGCTAATAATTAGTAGTATATGCATAAGGAATAAATTGATTCCACAAAAAATCATGAAACGAACCACCATCTCATAAAAAAGCATAAGGTAATTATATACAAACCAAATACACACATAAATTTTAAATTTAACGGGAGAGATGCGTCGTTCAACAACCTGCTAATTGCCACCTCTCCAAAAAAAAAAAACAAAAAAACTCGTGCAACAAAGAGGCAACGAACCAAACAAAACCGAACAAGTCAAACCCGCGGGGATGCACGGCCAAAATGGCGGTGGAGAGCGGCCAAACCCCGAGGTCTCGAACCCAGCAAAGTGCCACACGGCCGAAGCGGCCATCCTCGTCAGTCGTCACGACGCGCGCCCTGACTCCAATGAATGCGAGTCGCCCACCCCATCCCTTCCCTCCCTCGTCCCGACTCCCGAATGATCCCCCACCAAACCACCTCCACCGACGGCACACGGCAGGCAGCCCCGCAACAACGACACCACCTCGAGGCCCCCACCGAAAAAGACCATCTCGCCCCCCAGTCTGGACCTACTCCCTACCTCGACGCGCCCCTGGCTTCTGGACCCGGAGCTGGCTAGTTTCGCCATTTCGTAGTCCGATCAAAACCTCCCCAAACCCAACGGCACCGGCTAGTCGCTACGCTCGCACGTCGCACCCGACCTCCGTTCCTCTCCCCTACTCTGGCCTTCTCTTCCGCCCGAAGTCTCCACGCTCCCTTTTCTCCCGTTTAAAACCTTCGCTTCGTCTCGACTCTACTTGGTCGGCCATTTCCTCTCGCCCAATCCTCGCTCACGTCAAACCCTACGGCCCCGCGCCTCCTGCTCGGTGGCTCAGATCCAATGGGCGCGGCGCCGTCGACCCCGAGGCTGGGCGCGGCAGGCGCGCCGCCGTCGCCCAGCGCGGCGGAGCAGATGTTCGCGGCGCTGGTCGGCGAGAAGGCCTACCCAATCTCCTCCGAGTTCTGGAAGCAGCTGCTCGAGCTGCCCCTCACCCTGCAGTGGCCGCGCGACCGCGTGCTGCAGGCGTGCCACGCCTTCGGTGAGTGTGCCGCACCCCCCCCTCGAGATCCACGTCCCGCCTGAGGAAATTTCGCGGCTGTGCTGATTGCTTCCTTGCGCTGTCGCGTCAGATGATTTTACTCCTCCTTCCTAGTGTTTTGATCTGCCGGGCGATGCAGATCATGATCACGTGGTTTGTGTGTCTGGGGATCGTGGTCTGCACCGTGCCGTTCAGGCCTTTGAGGCGAACTGCTAGATTGGTCAGGGCGTTTACGGGATGTTTGCTACGCTGATTGTGCCGTTTTTTTTAGGTGTCGGTTTCTGCAGATTTTGAGGTTTCTGTGTGTTTATTTTATGATGATGGGGATCCTGCGGGGTTTAGTTGCCGTTCTGGCCAATTTCATGCGGGCTTGTTGGAATCGGTGAGGCATGTTCCTAATTACTCCAAGTCTAGCCTGACTGGCCTTGATTTTGTTGCAAATTATGCCATATTGGCATGTTCGTAATTTCTGAGTTTCCGTGCGTCTGGCTGACCGGGTTTGTTTTTACTTGAACTAGTTCAGCGAGTAAACTTTGCATCCCCTGTTTTTGGTAAGCTGACCGCTTGAGCGGGACGGAAGTGATGATTAAATGTGAACATTAGGTGGTAGCTGCCTAGCTCCAATTTGGACATTTGATGGAAACACTGTGATTTACTGAATTGCTGTATAATGATGATTGGTTTTGGAGTTCATGTTCCCAGTAATTAGTGACCTTGCTGATGTGCTAATGCAATGGCGATACACTGTATACTGTTTCAATCACTTTAGTTCGCTTGATGCTCTGCTTTAACATTTATATGATTGGATTTTCAAATATATTTAACTCATAATTATCTATGCTTATGGGCCTTAGTTATGTGCATCTGCAGCCGAGAATAACCACCAAACAAAGCATCTTGCAAAGATTTTGATCCATTTGGTTTGGTGCTTGCAAGAGTGCTCCTCAACAACTTCTGTATATTCTGTCGTATATCGGAGGGCGATCAATGCGGCATACATATCATCCATATTTCTCAAGTTCATCATTGAAAACGCAAAAACCGACAGTTGGCAAGAGCTATACCTTGACATTGACAGGAGTGAGAAGGGGTTGGAAAACTTTCCTGCAGGTAATTGATTATCCACATCCAGTAAGATTCTCTGTGTCTGGTCTATTGCAAAGCGTGCTTCTTCTGTAAGCTGCATTATCTATATTGCTATACGAGTGTTGGCCAGAATTCTTATGATATTTGATGTTCCCTTGATCCTTGAAGAAAACACTGTGGAGTATTTTCTGATGAGAGGTGTGCTGGACTATATTGGTAGTGTGGATGTAAGGTATCTTATTCATCACTTGTATATATTAATGTTTCCCGTTTTCATGTATGTTTTATTTATATTTGATCTAACTGTTATTTTGTACTGTATTAAGTCCGGAGTCATGCTACCTACATCATGAACTCCTGAACTTGATGCTAGTTCTTATGTCAACTCAGTTATGTTCTGGACCATCTCCAGAGCCAAAGGATGTGCATCCTTTTATTGATGCAGCTATGCTTCAGGTAAAAGCTGAAACTAGTGGTGCTTCATATATGATAATTTATTTCCAGACATTATTGGGATAAAATTTTAAGTGTATCTCCATGCGTCCTGTTTCATGTGCAGGACAGCTCCATAGTGGCTTCAGTGGTGCAAAAATTTTTGCTCAATTTTGTAACACGGCCAAAAATTCCTCTCAATGGTTCACACCCTGTTTTCTCTGATGATGGTAGGCCTGGTGTTCTGCAGCGAGTTGGCTCAGCAGCTGGTAACGTGGATCCTTTTCTTCAGCACTATTGTTTCTATAAATTTGAATTACTATATTATCTTCATGATGTGTGTCATGTCAATGTCCTAAGGAATATGTCGCCTTCTAAGTTCAGCTTAAATATATTTAGAATATGTCAACAGTCTTTCAGTTTTTTGTACTTCTCATGATGGTTTTAGTTGATGTTCCTCTTATGCTCTACAAGATACATATTGTCCAACCCTTGTTCCTAATTTGCAATAGTATGCTAGTTAAAAATTATAATGTTCACTTTAGGTCAGATGATGTTAGAATATGTAATTTTTTTTATTATTAGTCTATTACGAAAACTAGAGTTATGGCGGCAAACCCTTGAGTCTAAAGGTTTTAGATTGAGCAGAATTAAAACCGAATACATGAGATGCGACTTTGGCGGAGTTGTACAGGAGGAGGGAGATGTGAGTTTGGAAGGTCAAGTAGTGCCTAAGAAGGATACCTTTTGGCATCTGAGATCGATGCTACAGAGGGATGGAGATATTGATGCGGACGTTAGCCATAGAATCAAAGCAGAGTGGATCAAGTGGCGACAAGCTTCTGGCATTCTCTGTGACAAGAGGGTACCACAAAAGCTAAAAGGCAAGTTCCATAGAACGACGATTAGACCGGCTATGTTGTATGGAGCAGAATGTTGGCCTACAAAGATTCGACATGTTCAACAATTGAGTGTTGCAGAAATGCGTATGTTGCGATGGATTTGCGGTCACACATGAATGGACCGAGTTCGGAACGATGATATACGTGATCGCCTAGAGGTAGCACCAATTGAAGAAAAGTTTGTCCAACATCGGTTGAGGTGGTTTGGCCATGTCCAAAGGAGACCTCCAGAGGCACCAATGCATTGTGGAGTCCTAAGCCAAGCTAATAATATGAGGAGAGGTAGAGGAAGACCAAAATTGACATGGGGGGAGGCAATAAAAAGATATTTGAAAGCTTGGGATATACCTAGAGATCTATGTTTAAATAGGAGTACTTGGAAAGCAGCTATTGAAGTGCCTGAACCGTGACTTGGGGCTCTTGGTGGGTTTCAACTCTAGCCTACCCCAACTTGCTTGGGACTGAAAGGTTATGTTGTTGTTGTTTGTATTAGTCTATTACGAGATATCTTAGATAGAAAGTTCATTTTAGCCAATGGGCCATTCTTATAATTCTTAGTATCTACTAAGGGACTCTCTTATCTTGTTCTGCAGCAAATATCTTCTTATTGCCATATTATACTTTCAACTACCTTGTGAGCTCAACTCCTGAGGGTGCGACAAGTCAATTGGCAGATAACAGTTTACTTGTTCTGCTTATCATGATCCACTCAGCTTGGTGGGGCAAAGTGCATTTCAATCATGGCGAAAGGGAGTCATAGAAATTCTTGCGTGTTTCTAACCAACAATGTATACACTATGGACTCAAATACCAACGACAAGGATGCTCCAGTTTTTCATGATAACCCTTATTGCAAGGCATTAAACAGTGCTAAGGACATACAATGTAAGATGCACCAATACTACAGAGAAACTGTGGCACTAATATAGATCTCTAATAGTTACAGAAATGAATCATTATGCAGATGATCGTGCTGATGTTGAAGGAAATGCTCAAGATGGACCTGTTGTCAGGTTGTCTTTTGCATCGTTGTTTGATGCTCTTGGAAGGTAAGTAACGATCATCTGCTGATCCTTAAGATACTGCACATATTTTAATTCATTAGCTGCATGTGAAATTTCAAAATATTTGCGTTCGTTCTAAAATTAGAATGGCAGTGTTCCATTTTCCCTTGAAAAACAAAACACATAGATTATAAATAATATTAAATATTAATCTTCTGATAGAATTGTGCCACAACTTTTGATGGTTAAAAATGAATCTACACTTCTCTGCAGTTAGTGTCACATTTATGTTTTGGCATGTTTCAGGGCTTGTCTAGGGTCTATTATAATTTGGATCAACCATAAATGTTTTTTATCATATTCTACGGTACTCAGTTTCTATTATTCTTGTTCCTTACAGATGCTTAAATGATGAGAGCTCGGTGCTGTTTCTCTATTCTTTGGTCCATGGGAACTGTGACTTTCAGGAATACGTCCTGGTTCGAACAGACTTGGATACTTTGGTACGTTTTGTTCGCCTTATATCTAAGCATTGTTGCTGGAGCAAATGGACATTTAGGTCTAACTGGAATATGTTTGGATCAATAAAACATCTGCATCTTTTAAATAGTTTCCTTTGCAATGAGTGTATATTAGCATTTACTATGATTTTGATTAGTAGCATATGCACATTGCACTTATTTTGTTTCATCCTTTTGCCTTCATGAACTGGCTTTTAGTTTGTTAATGCTAATTATATTTCATTTTGTTAATGAGACCCACTTATGTGTTGATATCACTCAGCATAAAAAAGGTTAAAAAACTGTTTGTTTTTTATCTAATTACATAATAACTGTCTATTCTCTAATATAGATTCTTATTGATGCATGCTAATTTTTTTTGTCAATCATTTTGATAGCTGATGCCTATCTTGGAAATGCTCTACAATGCATCAAGGAAGACTTCGAATCAGATTTACATGCTGTTGATTATTCTCCTGATCCTCAGTCAAGATTCAACTTTCAATGCTAGTGTGCACAAATTAGTAAGCAAACTAGTTAACTTCTTAATTTGTTTGTTTGTAAAACTGTTAATAATATAACGTGCAACACCAGGTGCTTCCTGCTGTTCCTTGGTACCATGAGCGCCTGATGCATCAAACATCTCTGGGATCTTTGATGGTTGTAATACTAATTCGGACCATCAAGTACAACCTCTCCAAGCTAAGAGTAGGTATCAGAATCTTTATTGTTTGTACAGGAAAGTTGAAACTAGGTTCTTGATCTACCAATTGGAAGTTGCCTTTTGAAATTTCCTGCTATTTGCTGCTACATTTTGTATTTTGCGCGCAACACTATTTGTAGTACTAACTGTTTAATGATAAGCTTATATGCACTTGCAGGATGTCTACCTTCACACAAACTGTCTTGCAATTTTAGCAAATATGGCTCCTCATGTGCATAGGCTGAGTGCTTATGCATCACAAAGGCTAGTTAGTCTCTTTGACATGCTTTCTCGCAAGTAAGCTAGCCTTTACTCTTTCCCCAGATTTATTTACTTTACTTTAGTGTAACTTCAAGTTGAACCTAAAGTAATCTAGCTTGTTTCTATGTACCATGCAATAGGTATGCCAAACTAGCTGAGTTAAAAAATGACAAGTCTCTGAAAGTTATATCTGATCAGATGGAAGCAGACAACATCGCAGATGATATGGTAGTCTACATTTATTTTGCTCCATGATGTCATCTTCATCATTGCTTATGTTTCTCTTCTTTTCCTAAATAATTATTTATTTTTGCAGTCTACAGAGCTTCACATATATACAGATTTCTTAAGAATTGTTCTGGAAATAATCAATGCAATCCTTACATATGCATTGCCCAGAAATCCTGAGGTATGTATTGGCCTGCAATTCAGTTTACTTGACAGGAGGACTAGCACTGCTTCTAACATTTTTCTACAGGTTGTGTATGCTGTATTGCATCGACAAGAGGTTTTTGAGCCATTTAAAAATCATCCACGTTTTAATGAACTGCTTGAGAACATATACACTGTATGTGTTACTGTTTATTGCTCATGAACTTTCATAAGTACACAAATCTATTTCCCAGATTCTCATCACATTGTATGCTACGAGTGTCTGATAGGTATTGGATTTTTTCAATAGTCGAATGGACATGCAACAATTAGATGGGGAATGGTCTGTGGATAAGGTGCTTGAAGTCATCAACAAAACTTGCCGTTCATGGCGTGGAGAAGGGATGAAGGTAGTAGTTTCATCTTCTTTTACTTCTGGGCTTGAAATTATGTATTTATGATGGCAAGATCTTCTGGCAATAAGATTGGCTGACAATATACGATGAATTATTTTTCAGATGTTTACCCAGTTACGGTTTACATATGAGCAAGAAAGCCACCCTGAGGAATTCTTCATCCCATATGCATGGCGCCTTGTCCTATCACGGGGGTAATCATTTGCTGTTCTATATATGATTCACAATTTTTCGATAGGTCTTTAGCAAACCTTCTTTATTTTTTCCCTGAGTGGTACCTCCCCCACTTGGGCAAGTGGAAATGCTCCTTTGCCAATATAGAATTATCTTGATGTTATACATTGCATCTTGTTTGGCACTTAAAGGCTTTGTTGTTGTTGTTGTTATACATTGCATCTTGCCTTACAAGGATCTCATAAGCTTTCACATGTAAATTAGACACGATTTTGAGATTTTGTCCAGTCTTTAATGGCCAACTCAATTAGACACTTAAGAGTCTAGAGCAGTGTCTTATACTCTTAGTTCATGCCCAAGCTCTATTTCCAAATTCAATTCACACTGATTTGTCATATGTTGATTTGTCATAACTGTTTTGTGTATTCACAATTCACAGATTCTCCTTCAATCCGGGCGCCATAAATCTCTTCCCTGTGGAGATTCACCTTGAAGTAAGTTGCTCTCTTCTTTGCTGAGTTGACGCTTTCAATATCAGTGAGACATATGCTTTGATATAAATTGCAGCACCCAGAACATCAAATGAATAGTCAAATATGATGTTACTCTTTTTTTTTGGGGGGGGCTGCGTGCATCTGTTTTGTCAAATATTATGCGCTGTTCTTTTTTATTTCACTAACATTTTTCTTTCTGCCAAAATTATTCTCCCAGGACGCACCGGCCAGTGAACAAAAGGTTTAGGAAGAATGGTCCGAACCAGAGTTCTGACAAGAACATAAAGGCATATTTTTGTTTCATTGTGGCAAAGAGCACGATGTAAATAGGCGGCACATACCATATACCAGGTAGTCGAATGTACACATTCTTTTGTATTAAATAGTTCCGTTGTTTCATAATATGTGTAAGAGGGAAGAGGCTGGACGGATTGCGCAAGGGTTCAGATATTGTGCTAGTATATAGGGGGTAGATTACTATGTAGGGTATACACAATTCTTTCATAAATTATCGTTGTATTGTACCCTTAAGCTGAAAGGCCTTGTAACCACGCTGGTCACTCTTTATTGTAAAGTTGTAAACTCTGCGATCTGGTCTTTCTCCGTTATGTGAAGTGTGAAGTGCTGGCTCTGCTCTCCGATGTGTCATAAGAAGCATACCACAAGAGTCGTAAAGAGTCGCATGTAGCAACACAACTGAAATAGGTGATATATAGCTCATTAGCTCATAATAAAACTACCCGATAATACTAAGTTTAACTCATCTTGACACCAAATTACCAGATCAAGATCACCAGCAGTGACGAAGTCAGAAAAAATTTAGGAGGGGCTGAAACAAAAGAATAGAGGTTTTTTTATCTTCTCTTAACCTTAGCCTCTCTTACTTAATACATATATGCATAAAATTTTAAGGGATGGTTTAAGGGGGCTCCACGTGCGCAGGATGGGTAGGGGGGCTAGCCCCACCGCTGGCTTCGTGCCTGATCATCAGCACATATAGCAGCATGACTTTAACAACATAGGCAAGGCACAAGCAACCAACACAATAAGATATTAGATGATGAGTATTTCACATAGTTTAAACTAGATAGACACTACCATAGGTTTATGGGTTCGGGAACCATACCTATACCCACCTACCTGATGGATATGATATTCAAACCATTATGAAATTCATGGGTTTAGAAATCGATCCATGCGTAAAAAGTCCATAGGTTGAGTCTTTCTATACGTTGGAAACCCTAAGGCCTTGTTGGGATGTTATCATATTCACCTCAATCCATGTGCGTTGGTGGAGATTGAGGTGGAATTTAGTTTAAGTTGCACTCCAATCCACCTCAACACATGTGGATTGATGTGAATCCGACTACATCCAAACAAAGCCTAAGTATAGAAACAACTCCATAGCGTTATTACAACAATGGAGATTGAGGAGTTTGTATTCCTATGGATCCACCTACATGCAACCTAGCTACAGTCCAAGGTGTGTGATACAATCATCATTTAGAAATGGACGACCGATGGACGATACTCCACACACTTAGCATATTGTATCCAATTCAAAGGTATTTATGGTAGACATAAAGTCAGTCTGATTTGAAGACACATGTGGAAAATAAATACAAAAATTTTACTTGGACGCTCATACAAGATATTACGATCCTACTGTCGGATGATCTGGTGACCCGAGGCTGGCCCTGCAGGGACACATGTTATGTGCAATGGACCAGTAAGACTGGCCACCACATACGCTTACTCTGCTCCAAACGCAACCATCTGACTCACGTGCTGCCGCCGTCTGCCTGCTCCTCGCTCGCCGCGGACACCGTCGCGCCTAGGGCCCCTCTCCTGTGCTTCTGCCGGAGATAAGAAGGGGAGTGGACTAATCTTTTTCTCAGAGTCAGTTTTCTAGTGTCTTATGGTTGAATTCAAATAAATTTCTAGAAAAATCAGATTATTTTTTGTCGGGATCGTGTGTCATGTGATGACCTCGGTGATTACCACGACGAGATCGCCGTTGCAGACGTTGATTTTATCGGCAGGTGTCCAATTTGTTGCCTTTATCTGCAAGGGGAGGGGTGCTTATGGGAGCCCCTATGAGGACAACGACTACGGGTCATCAATCTCATAGTCGATGGCCGTGAAGAGAAAATCAAGATCTTAAGGTAATGAATCTGGATCCTATGTCGTACCCAATGATGCAACTGTCAATATTCTCTCAACGATTTAGAGTGTTTTGGGCTGGTTCTGAATCATTAGATCTTGCGGTATGTCCAATGTTTTAGGGTTGGTCGGTGGATTCAGCATAAGGGCTGCACTTTGGCTCCGGCGTTTGAGAGAAATCATTGGGGAAGAAGATGATAGAAGAATCTAGATATAATATTATGTATTTTTATTTTATTTTTCATGTGTAATTTAGGATGTACCGTGCCAAGATTTTATATAAGTCCTTTCCTTTGAAAAAAATGTTTGCTCTGCCCCTCAAACCCGTTTGGGGCTAAGTCCTTGAGTGGAAACTAGAAAGCATACAACATGGGGCAACTCGTCCGATCCGAGGACTTTCCAACTATTAGGCCTTTAGATGTGGTCGAATTTGCATCAATCCACGTGTGTTGGGGGATAGGGGGGATTGGAGCTGAACTTGAACTAAATTCCACCTCAATCCACTCCAACACATATGAATTAAGGTGAATCCAACAACATCTAAACAATGTCTTAGTGGGAACTGGAAAGGATACAACATGGGACAACTCATCCGACCTAAAGGACTTCCCAACCATCAGTGGATACAACATGGGGGCAACTCGTTCTTCCCAGCCATTAGTACTTGGTGGGAAGTGGTAGCTAAGCATGTAAAGAAGGATCGTCGCCGTAAAATCAATAGTATAGTGATCTATGTCTTTTGGAACCTTTGAAAGAACAGAACCGACGGATCTTTAAAAACAAACCACAAGTGGCGTACCAAGTGACGTTGAGAAAAGGGAAGATATTGAGCAACATAGTAGAGGGTTCAGATCACCTCTGTAGTTCTTCGCTTCTTCTACCTGTCCTCTTTCTTTCTTGTGATTGGCTCCTCACCCGGTTTGGTTTGGGGTGCTGCTTTAGACTGGATTGAATATTGGTTGTTTTAAAAACTCTAAGTTCCATCTTAACTGAATCAGAGTTCCTGCCACCTTTTTTTTTTAAAAAAAAATCCCTAAATATGGTTCCAAGCCAATAAAAAACACATCACCTATTGAGACGCTAAAAAATCCCTAATCAGCATACTAAGTTCTTTACTGGCTTGGCTCAAAGCCGATACAGGTTTTGTATACTCGCTCCATTTCATTGGTTTGTACAAGTAACAAATTAGCTGGGTCGGTCAACATGCACCCTGAGATACTTGTCTAGGACATTATGGAATATCTGCATTAGAAAAAAAATATCGTAAAACATGTTAAGTATGTTTCACAACGAAAATTCTGCAAAAGGCTTCATTAGATGGTTTCCATTTCAATATAAGAACACCAAATATTTCAACACAAGCAACTCAACAAGGACTAGTTTGCTTCAAAATTTCCATGATAGGTCAGAAGCACAGATTGATCATACTGTATTTAAGCTAGTAATTGACATGTCAATTAGTTTTCACTGTTATATGTCATTTAACAATTAGTAGAGATTGCGACTTAATGATATGTATTGAAATGGAAATATTTTACAAATGTGTAAGTACCTGAAAAGAAAACAATTCCTTCCCGTTGAGAATCACATCCATTGCGGCATACTGGTCGTCAAACACGCTATAAAATTTCTTGTAGAACTCAACCCTGCATCAATCCATTCAACAGTTTAGTAGACTTAAAATGTGGTCCAAGTTACAATTGACAGAAGAATACTGACTGTTCTTCTTTTGTTGTTTGTTGATCCATCTCATCAAACTTCCTAGTCAGTATCTCTGCTCCTACTGGCCCAAGCATGTTGAGAACTAAACTTTCTAACGTCCTTGGGAAAGTATGCTGAAAATCATAGAGGATATTGTTGTACTTATCAAAAAAAATTATTGCAGCGTACACGGATTGGATTCGAAAGATAACAGAAATGCAACAATATCAACCGATTGGTTTTTAACTTTGAAATGCATACCACCATTGCAAGCAGCATACTCCGCAATTCAAGTGGTTCAACTGGTAAAATGATTTTTGCAACAGGATCTTTGTCCAAGAGGGATGAATCATCTGCAGCAGCACTCGTCTCTGTTTCGTCTCTTTGGTTGGAAGATTTATTCTGGGATGTAGCTTCTGTTTTGTCATTTTGGCTAACCACTTCAGCACTATCATGGACCAGTGAGATCAGTTCATAAAGTGCTTGAAGAGTGGAGGGTTCCAGAGTTTGCAATGGTGAATCTTTTTGCAAACTGAATAGCTGGAAACCTGATAAATGATAAACACAAATTATTAATTGTTTGTTGTAATCAAAAGGGAATAGGACCCAAAGAAACATGATAAAAATAAATATAAAGGTAGCCATTAACTCAATTCTAATAAAAAAAAGTTGCCGCAGAAACAAATTTATGCTGATACGAAAGTATCAAACTACCAACAACACTGTAGAAGTTATTGCATCAATGAACAAATTAAAATAATTCATAGGATGAAAATCGCAAGGAGTTTCAGATGGCTTACAGTACTGACCTGTCAATGTTTTGGCCATGCGCTGAATATCGGTGCGATCTTTCGAATGACCAAAAGGACTCTTCTGCACAACTATGCTCTGTCTCACGAGAAATGGAGAAGGTAAAAAAAATTGATTAGAAGAAACATGACCATGTTTCACTTATAGGAAATAGGAATAAAGACCCAAATATATGAAGAGAAAAAAAAACCGCAAGGTGCATGCGTGCATGCAAAGTAGATGAACCAGCTAAAGTTTAACTGGATCAAATCAGGGAAAGGAGTGAAATACACTAGGTGACTGTAGAAACCAATAACAGACTCAGAGTTTTCAGACTATGAAGAGAAATGCCCTTTTTTCTTGTTCTACTAGAATAAATTGAACAGGGTAACAGGGCATACCATCTCCTGGTCCACCAATCTTCACTAGAAATCATTTGTAGAGGTAGAAATCCACGAGAGTGTGTGGAAACAAGGGTAAAATAATCAGATGTTGGTTAAAAAGAGGTATTGTGAAGTAAACATTTAAAACATAAAATACTTGGTGTCTTGGTTAGGACTTAATTTCATCAATGTCCTTCAATTCCAAAATCACATTTATCAGGATAAAAAGTCTATCCCTCATTGTCATGTGGCGGCAGGACTATAGCCATTAGTCAGCTATCAGCACCTATGTGGGGCAGGCAGCAGAGCAGCAAGTTGCTGTGCCTCCTCCAGAAGCCACCTAGGCTTATAGAGAAGAGTCCTTGAGATATCCTGCTCAACCGTTATGTCTCAAGTTTTTTTAGTTAGGGGTAAGGTTGGTTTAAAGAGTGTGGATTGTTCAGGGGTATTTCTAGAGATATAAATCATTCTGCACTAGTCTAGTTTTCCATGGGAGGATAGCTTGTGGGAGCTACTCTATGAGCTGACCTTAGATGGTTATTTCTATTAGCACATGCCAAAAAGGCAATTTAAGTGAAAAATATGTTTTTATCCCTGTATTGCTTACTAAAGGTTAGAAATGGAAAAGGTGGAAGGTCGCTAGGAAGTACAAAAATACTTGTACACGTGTCACCATGGACAACCAATCTATGGCTAATTATGTATAATATTTAGAAGGAAATGTACATAGCTGAATGAATTACAAAATACCTGCTCAGGATTCGGCGTAGATAGTAGGCATCCATATGTTCTAACATTTGAGTCATTATTCTGGACTTCCACCAAAAGTTAACTGCTATGGTTAAGTCGTCACTGTCAACTTGGTGACACCTGTTACAAGAACACTCAAAGTGTTAGCTGGATTAATGCAGTACTGATTTCTAAGATATAAAGGACACAACAAAATAAAGAAACAGACACTGTTATTCAATATGTGCCAACTGTCACATATAAGTATCTTAGGAGGGAAAAGATATCTCAAACAACATCACTGCATTCTACATTCAGACGAGTTCATATCAGCGTTCAAATAAATTTCAGCTCATAATTGAAAGATGCAGATTACAGGTGACTTGATATCATTTTTCTATAAAAAAATCTAAGTATCCGGATCTAGGATGCTAAAACTCAGGTTCAAGTGTTAGGCTCTGAGCCTCATAGTAGTAATAATCAATAATAAAAAATAGAGATGTACCATCCTTCTGGTATGAAAACAACATCGCCGCAGTTTAGAATGACTGTTTCAGAATATTCCTTCATGTATCTTGCCCTTGTATATGAATAATCTGGCTCCTCCATGCTAACAGAGCTGCCAAAAAGATAGCGAGATAAGAAGACGTATTTTTGACTGCCAAATTTTGAATTACTAAAAGATAGTTCAAATTATTTAAGTACTTCCTGAGCAGAGGATTTTACCTGTGGTTGGAGGCCTCACCATACACAGGCAACGGGTATAAGAATGGGGATGCAGATGGAGGCCACAAAGTAACTGTGTGAAATATATAGGAGCAAGAAACCATTAGCCTAGGTACCTCTAGATAACCATCACAGGGTGCTACAAATAATCAATAACACAAAAGCTACAAAGATAAGAATCATTTAGAAATTAGAATGATGGAAGTCCAAAATTAAAATTTGAAAAGGAGAAACAGTGACTTTTTTAAAATCCCATCTGCAGCTGCAGCAAAAGGAGTTCCTATGCTGTCCCAATTTGATACATCCACCAAAACACAATGAACTTGGAAAACATGGGGGAATCTAAACAATGTCAAAGCATTGCCTTTGTGAAACTGCCTCAGAATGGCTATTAGAAACAACTGGATTATATGAGAAAAATTGCCAAATAAACTAATTCTTAAGGGTTATGGTCAACAGTACAAAATGACATCAAATTATAACAGATTTTCTAAAAGCATGAGATACGGACCTTTTTTGCAACCAGATACCACACAGAGAAGGTTATGGTGGGGATCGTAATGAGTACTTGATCTCAAGTGACCCTTATTCATCCAAAAGTTTATTGACGAAAATGATTTTCCTCTCAGAAATATAGGCTGTAGCAGTAAAGAGAAACAAATTAATAGAATAATGAACTTCGATGTTCAACTTGAAAGTCATATGGAGAGTATACTATTTTACTAAAAGGCAAAACTAGTTCAAACCTCCTGGATGTCCCCTTCCAAAATTTGTAATGAGCATCTCTCTTTATTCTCTGTGTTCATAATAGATACCTGCTAAAGGTGAATTGCTAAGTCCATTTCAAGATAACACCAACCTCATAAAATGTGAGCTTGCCTGTGCCAAATAGACTTGCTCCAAGTTCTCTGAGCTGTTCGAACACGTCTCCCTTGAACAAGCTGGCTCCCCAAGCATTCCCTGTTCTTTGGATGAATCACTAGCTGCATTTACATGATTCAGGTAAGACTTGCACGACTGAATGAACGTGGAGAATGAAAGAGAAACCTGCATGGAGGAAAAAGTAGCATTAGTGCCTCAATGCAAACAATCCATATGGCTGGATTTATAATTTACAAGTTCAGAGCAAAAACCAGCCCTCTCATGGCTTCTGAGATCCCCGTAGAACACATGGCCAGTGTTTGACATCATAGCTTCCACAGCGACATCTGGTCCCACTTTTTCCTGAAGAACAATCGGACCAAGAACGAAGATTGAAGCGAAATGTCTAAAAGAATAATTGTTTTTCAACCCGACGCCTCATACGCATTGGGAGACTTATAAGAGAAGAACAAGAGCTGGATTGTTTGGCATGGTCTCACAGGGAGAAAAGCGAACCACATGATGCAACATTGCTCTATTCCCTTGTGACAAATTGAAGGGTTGCCTTCGTGGTTCGACGTGACACCAGAGCTGCTCTCAAATAAGCGGAGTATGCGACAACTAGATGTTCTGAAACGTGTTTGCATGGTGTTTTGGGGGAAAATGTCTATATGTGACAACCACCTAGGTATGAAGATAAATCCCGTTACACGATTAGTTTATGAAAGTTTTTTGACAAGCACTCGTTGCAATTGGCCGCGTAAACCAAAAGCCTATCAATAAAAAGGAACACATTCCAACAAGTTCCAAAAGATAAATTTGTATAAAATTGAAACTAGTAACCAATCCCAATGTGGAAGTATTAAAAAACTTATATAAACAAAAAACATCTCAAATATAGACATATAGTAATTAGTATTAATATAAAAGACATAAGAGGGCCGACCAAGTATCTAAATTCTAATAAGTATGAGCAATAATTAATTCATAAGACTGGTTTAAAGGATTGCAAACCGGTGAATACTCCACTCTCTATCTCTGAGAAGTTAGACGGCTGGTGTTGGTGAATTGTTGGATGGTGCTTCTACTACAATATACATGAGTATTGTGGGTGGTTTATAATATTTAACTCTCACTCGTCCTGACCTGTCTTTTGCGGTGAATAAAGTTTGGTAATATCTTCGTACTCCTACTTTAGCTCATTACACTACAATGAAAAGAATTCTAAGATATGTCAGTGGAATAACAGTTGGTTATGGGTTAAAAAATGTCAAAACCAACACAGATATGTGAGTGCTTTCTCTTACACAGATTGAGTTGGTTGTTGTTCTGATGATATGTGTTCTACTGGTGGTTTTGCTATATTTCTAGGTTTCAATCTTATATCATGGAGTGCTGGAAAACAACCAACAAATCGAAGGTCTAGTACCGAAGCAAAGCACAAAACATTGGCCAATGCAACATCAGAAATTATATGGGTGCAAACACTTCTTCATGAGCTAGCTGTTTCACAACCTCAAGCAGCTTTTCTTTTGTGTGATAGTTTAAGTGCTACCTATCTATCAACAAATCCAGTGTTCCAATGCCAGAACAATGCATATTGAGTTGATTATCATTTTGTTAGAGAGAGGGTTGCATAAAGATTAATTGGTATCATAATATTTTTTTCAAATGATCAAGTACCAGAAGGTTTACTAAGGCTGATGAATCGGTCCTAAGATTACAAGATTTTGAAATAAATCTCAACTTGTGTAAGTAGTGATTGAGGGGGATATAGAGGTAGTATATCTAGTAGTATTGGATACAAGTTATGTGCTACACGATGTATCTTGTCTAGGACATAGCTAGAGTCCTTGTAGTTATTCACATGCATGTATCCGTGATTATTCAGGTCTTGTAAACAGCTATACATAACAGAGAGCTGGCAGCTTTTTGGCTTGTGCGGTTCCATCAATCTTTACAACCATCACATCATCTATTATCCTGTGTTGCTCCTTCCCTCAAACGCACGAGAATACAGAAAGGGTTGACCTCCAAAATGAAACCATACTAGAATGGTTGTCGCAGTGACAAATAATAAGGCACACCATCACCTTTGGACACGGGGAAAACCACTAACCACGAAAGGATGAAACCCCCCTCTAGAAAATTAGTTGGAGTCTCAAGTTCTAAAAGTACATCAATTTTGCTATAAATATGACGTATGTCTACATGCATAGTAAAATCTATGTACCAAAAAAATAAAATTGAATTATAATTTAGAACGAAGGAGTACTAGATCTAGAAGATGACCACTAGATCGTGCACCTTCTCGTCGTCACTGCTAGTGCGGATATAGGAGTTTAGGAAGACAGGAGGCCAAGATGGTGGTGGCACTACTTGAGAACACCCTCGTATCAATTGAACCATGCATGCTTATTTGGATAAGCTGATTCCCCATGATGACTGGAATGGATTAGGAGGGGACTTATGGGTAAATTACTTAATTTCCCTCTTCAATCCACATTTATTGGGAAGGAATAGATTCATCCAAGCAATCCCTTAGGAGGCTTTTGTCTTTCGTATTTGAATGCATGCATAGTTAATTAGGACGTTGTGCTAAGTATACCATTTGTAGGCTCATTCACATGAGAATCCTGAAAATCATGGGCAAAGCTAAGTGGCACCTACTAGGAAATAAGAAGTGGTAGAAACAGAAACCTAGAAAAATCAAGAATGAAATTTCGTATACCTGCTAGGCTGCTAGTAGAAATTTTCCCATGTACGAAATGAACAGTACATATAATTTGTTACCAAAGATGAATAGTAAAATGAAAAAAATGTTGTTTTGGGGGATGTAGTAAGACCAAAAAGTTTTTGGATCGGAAGATTAATTAACCACATGAATCAAATTCAAGTTATAGCTAGACGCATGCTCTACATGTTACACAAAGATCATGAACAAGTTAAAGAACAGCAAACAGAGAGGCGGATAGCCTGATCAGGGTGTCTTTGAAACCCCTGAACCCCATGCGCCACCCTCACATAGTGGCACCGTCGGCCCGTGAACGGGCCGGTCCTATCTTGAGTACCATTGGATCATAGATCAATGAAGTTATCCTTCTCACCAAAAGATAGTCTAGTAGATATATGTTTTACTTCGTAAAAAAGTTTCTGCGTACATGCTTGCAATTAAATTCTCTAATATTTCTTGATGGGAGAGACAAACATAAGAAGAGTATATAAATCAAATAAGCCAGATCTAATGCATCTAATTAATGGAAGTTCATAAGGGAATTGCAGATCGACTGAGAAAAAAACAAAGAGGTCACTCAAGTGAAAAGAAAAGGAGTAAAAAAAGAAATAATCAGAATTCAGAAGCAAAACAACGACAGGAAATAATCTGACTATACACAGTGACAACAGTTACCAAAAATCATGCAGAAATGTGCCACGCTCTTAAAGTACCGGGACAACAAACATGTACATCTGGTGACTGAGACTCTGAGGACAGAGAGCAGCATTATCGTGAAGAGAATTAATTAACCAGTGAACCACACCAAAGGCCCAAATGGCTCACCTGACATTGACATCAATATAGTGACACTGATCTTTCATCTCTGAGATTTTCTCTCGCTATATGAAATTTTTATGCGCAAGCCGTGTTACATCATTTGATCTACCTTTGTACATAAGCAGGCTCATGGCCGTTGTTTTATTTTTCTGTGGTGGTGATGATGTGGGACGACAGAAGAAATTCACGGGCTAGAGTAGAAATTAAGGGCCTATCGTCTAATTTTTCTGTGCTCCAATTAGCAGGTGAAACTGCGCAGCACGATCTAGATCTTAGGCATCCAAAGTTTGCCAGTAAAAGAAAGATCAGATCATGCTGGCAGCTTCAGCTGCTTAAGGTGCACAAATACACCACGCATCGATGTACATGGTCTTGGCTACTATAGAAGGTATAGTCACTATACCGTATCACAGGACAAGAGTGAGGGGCCGGCCGGGGTGGGGAGGGTTAGGGCACGGAAGCTCCTCATATATAGAGCAGTAATATTAGAAGCTGAAACAAAAGCAACAAGGCATCTCGATCAGTTAATGTTAAATAGCAGCAACAGCAAGGGTTAAAGTTCCAAATGGGAGGAACTAAATTTTGGCAGGATTTTAAACTTGGAAAAAAGCTAGGTGGTCCTATGAGCGGGCATACAGAGGAATATGTCAAAAAACCGATGTTGTCTTGCATTCGATGCTGATGCTGATGCTCACAGCACCAAGGACCACAGCATAGCATAGCATAGGCTGGGTAGCTAGGGTTTGTACAATTGTATATCATCTGTACTCTTGGCACTTGTGCTGGGATTAGCCGGGGCGTGCGCCGCGAACGCAGTGCACAAGGCCAAGTTATCCGTTGCAGCAAGGGTACACGGCACGGTGACCTGCTAAGCTATTACATACGGGATCATCCCTGGTCGGTCACCTGAGCTCGTCCAATTAATTCGCTCATTTCCATGGGATCAACCCGCTAGCTATGACTAGGAGCGAATCAGTTTCAGGCTTGTGATGAAGCTAAGGACCTGTTTGGCACAGCTCCTCCTGAGCGGCTCCTCCGGAGGAGCCGGAGCCGTTTTGGAGGAGCCACAAATTTTGGCTCCTCCAAAACAACTCCGGCTCCTCTGTTTTTTACTGAAAAACGGCTCTTCCAAGAAAACGTTTGGCAGGGCTCCTCTGGAGGAGCCGGAGCCGGAGCTGGAGAGGAGCCCTGCCAAACAGTCCTAACTAACTTGCACATACATACGCTCACTAAGCTACTGAAGGATCGATTTTGGGACACAAGCGATTTGATTAACAGTGGTCGACACAAAGTATCCTTGCCTTAAAAAATCTATAGCGATTTTCAGAGGTGAGCAACCTATTTATAGGGCTACTTAGAAACACCTGTCTATGTAAAATCAATTAATAATAGTGGTCGACACAAAGTATCCTTGCCTTAAAAAATGTGTAGTGATTTTCAGAGGTGAGCAACCTATTTATAAGGCTACTTAGAAATACTTGTCTACGTAAAATCAATTAATAAAGACAGACCTTTAAAAAACCGTCTATGTAAACGGGGACTATTTACAGAGACAGACCCCTTAAAGGCATCTCTCTGTAAATGCGAAAGAGAAAACCCTAGCTTTCCACTGTCGTCGTACTCTCTATCTCTCTCACTCATCCCTTTGTCTCCTGAGCAAGCGAACCGGCGGCGCCCTCTCTCTCTCTCTCTCTCTCTCTCTCTCTCTCTCTCTCTCTCTCTCTCTCTCTCTCTCCTCTCTCCGGCGGATAGGACAGGATCTCAAGTAGCACGTGGAAGTGCCCAAGCACACATAGTGGCACCCGACGTGGCAAGGAGCCTGCACTCATGCGGATATGCGAGGAAGCAGCAGGCCGGGGCAGGTCTCAGGCTCACCTCCAACGGCGGCAGGCCAAGTCTAGATTCGAGCTCACACACCGGCAGTCGCGCCAGGGTGCGAAACTGTGACGTCGGCAAGACTGCTGGTAAGTTCCCACTTCCTCTTCCCCTCTTTCCCTCATCAACTCTCTCTCTCTCTCTCTCATCCACACGGGCCATGATGAGGAGGGCAGTGGCGACGGCTATGCAGATCTAGTCGTGGGCGAGAACACCAAT